GCTGAAGAGAAGATTTCAAAGAGCAGCTCGAGTAGACAAAACCAATTACTATAATGAAATGTTCAAAGACCTGGAGTTTGAAAACCAAAAGGGAAGAACATGCTCGGCATTTCTCAAGCTGAAAGAACTGAAGAAAAAATTTAAGCCTCGAGTTGCAATATTGAGAGATTCTAGGGGAAAATATTCAATGATGCAGGAAACATCAAGAGTAGATGGCAGGAATACACAGAGTCACTGTACCAAAAAGAACTGTTCGATCTTCATCCATTCCAGGAAGTGGCATATGATCTAGAACCAATGGCACTGAAGGAGGAAGTCGAAGCTGCAATGAAAGAATTGGCAAAGAACAAGGCACCAGGAATTGACAGAATACCAACTGACATATTTCAACAAATGGATGCCCCATTGGAAGCACTCACTCGGTTATGCCAAGAGATTTGGAAGACAGCTACCTAGCCAACTGACTGGAAGAGATCCGTATCTGTACCCACTCCAAAGAAAGGTGATCCCACAGAATGTGGAAATTATAGAACAATATCATTAATATTGCATGTAAGTAAGATCTTACTGAAGATAATTCAAAAACATTTGCAGCAGTATATTAACAGAGAACTTCCAGAGGTGCAAGCTGGATTCAGAAGAGGACGTGGAACAAGTGATATTATAGTTGTTGTCAGATGGATCTTGGCTCAAGACAGAGAATACCAGAAAGATGTTTACTTGTGTTTTATTGACTATGCAAAGGCATTTGATTGTGTGGATCATGACAAATTATGGATAACATTGAGAAGAATGGGAATTCCTGAGCACTTGATTGTACTCATGAGGAACCTGTACCTTGACCAGGAGGCTGTCGTTTGAACGGAACAAGGGGACACTGGTTTTAAATCAAGAAGGGAGTGTGTCAGGGTTGTATCCTTTCCCCATACTTATTCAATCTATATGCTGAGCAAATAATCCGAGAAGCTGGACTATATGAAGAAAAACGTGGCATCAGGATTGGAGGAAGAATCATTAACAACCTGATATACACAGATGATACAACTTTGCTTGCTGAAAATGAGGATCACTTGAGGCACTTACTGATGAAGTTTGAAGAATACAGTCTGCAGTATGGATTATGTCTCAATAGAAAGAAAACAAAAATCCTCACAACTGGACCAATGAGCAGCATCACAATAAATGGAGAGAAGATTGAGGTTGTCAAAGAATTCACGTTGCTTGGTTCTACAATCAATGCCAATGGAAGCAGCAGTCAGGACATTAGAGGACGTGTAGCATTGGGAAGGTCAACTGCAAAGGAACTGTTTCAAGTGCTGAGGAGCAAGGATGTCTCCTTGAGGACTAAGGTGCACCTGACACAAGCCATGATATTTCCAATTGCCTCATATGCATGTGAGAGCTGGACAATGAATAAGGAAGACCGAAGAAGAGTTGATGCTTTTCAGTTGTGGTGCTGGCAAAGAGTGCTGGAAGTACCAGGGACTGCTAAAAGAACTAACATCTGTCCTGGAGGAAGTGCACCTGAAATGCTCCTTGGAAGCGAGAATGGCTAGACTTTGTCTTACCTATTTTGGTCATGTTGTCAGAAGTGACCATTCCCTGGAGAAGGATGTCATGCTTGGTAGGGTGGAGGGTCAACGGAAGAGGGGGGAGGCCTTCAACGAGATGGATTGACATGGTGGCTGTGATGATGGGCTCAAGTATAGCAGGGATCATGGAACTGGCGTGGGATCAGGCAGTGTTTCATTCTGCTGTGCATTGGGTCGCTATGAGTCGGAAATGACTCAACGGCACCTAACAACATCAGTACTTCTGATACGGAAAAAAAAGTATTGCTGCATGCTCATGCTGGGCATGTAAAAGGTTCTGAAAAACTATCAAAAATTGCTTCAGGATACTTTTGGGGTAATAGATATGTTCTATATTTTGACTAGGTGGTTACTCTGGTACATTTGTAAAGATGTATCAGAGTGTACATTTAAAATGAGTGTATTTTGTTGCATGTAAAATATACCTCTATAATTACTAAAACAAGTTTTATGGCCAAAAAAGAAAAAAAAAAACAAAAAACTGTTCCAAGAGCAGCAGTTTATAAGAAGTTCATAAGCTAGAATTTATTACCACTATTTATTGAGTTGGGAGCTCTGGTAGCATGGTGGCTAAGGCACTTGACTGCTAACCAGAAGGCTGGCGGTTCAAACCCACCAGCCACTCCTCCGAAGGAAGATGGGGCAATCTACTTCTGTAGTGATACCACCTCGAAAACCCAAGGAGGGGTCGCTAGGAGTCAAGCCCGACTCAGTGGCACATAACATTTATTGAGTTAAAAATCTATTCTTGTTACATATTTTGATCTTTAATCTTATTCACATTTCTGTAGCTTGGTCATAAAAAAATAATAAACAGCTATGAGGTAGGTGAATGGTACATATTATCTCATTTTAAAGAAGAGAATGGAGTCAAACCTGTTTAAGGCCTTACGACTTGTGCATTCTAACTTACTTACTGAGTCTTGGAGAAATGATGTAGGAAAATGACTTCTATATTATGTTGTTTTAGACATGGTAAACACAGAGAAATGAGTCTTTGCAAATGTAGTATTTTTTCCCCTTTGTGTATGCGAGGCCCCATCTTGAGTCCTTGCCTTATTCAAGGCTAAGATTAACACACCAATGCACATACAGGATGATTCCACAGAGTGGGCCCAAAGGGAGCCTTGGCTTGAAGATCTGAGGTGTGTCCTAAAAAGAAATTCATTCTGAGTCAAGAAAGCAGGCAGGACAAGGTCGACCCAGTTCCAAGCCCTCATGGTCAGAGGGAGGTGATAATCTGATTAGTATGATTTCTGCTGGTTAGTTATGTCCTCTACCTTGCTCAATGGCACACACATGTATTCTAGACATAGAATATACTGTTTGGCCAATTCTGTAAACTCCCAGGCTATACATAGCATTGGTTAGGCAGCCTTCTAAGAGACTGCAGTATAAAATAGGGAGCTAGTCATTCCCCTCCATGTTACTTGATCCCAGCACTCAGCTTTGGCATCCCGAGGGTCCAGGGTATCAGTGGGATGCTTGACTGAAGAGGTAGAGGACCCAGTAGGAGCATCAGATTCTGCCTTGAAAAGGGCATCAGTTGTTAAGAGACCATGGAGATGAGAGAAAGCTATGGAGATACTGCCAAAAAATTCTTGGGGATGGATGGATTCTTTATAATGAAAAGGTAAGACAAGAACTACTTAACTAGGAGTTTTTATCAATAAACTAAACTCATATTTGAGTTCTCTCATTTGGAAAAAGGCTGGTAAAACCTGTGGAGCTAGGAGTTTTCAGAAGAGATGGCAGTGACTTATTATAAAAATGTAGATTCTGATTATTTTTCCCAATAAGATGATGGTGCAGGGCCATTCCTGCTGGTCCCCATTCAACAGTTCTTGCCTTAGGCAGTAATGCACACTGGCACACAAGCCAACATGGGAAGAAACCAAGGGAACACTTTGTAGGCAAGAATCCATTAATTTTTTTTGTGGATAAAGATGGAACTAAGAATATTGGTATCATTAGCCTTAACATCATTAACCAAGGGACATAACTTGCCCAAACATAGCATTATGTGTTAGATTCATTACTCTTTTAACTTCATCACTATGATTCCTCTGCCATTACAGTTAGGTAATGGCAGTTTTGCTAACAAAATTCAAAATAGGGTTTAAAGTTTTTGAATAAGGGGTCCTCTGTATTCCATTTTAAACTAGATTTAGAATTCATTACCAACAACAAAAGAAAATCAGGTCTGTCAACCATATTCTAGCATCATCAAAGGGAGAAATGTTGTTCCTATCTGTGAATGTATAACTGCACTTCGATTTTTGACATTAACTGTGTTTTTTATTTGGCTGCTAACCAAAAGGTTGGTGGTTTGAACACACCGTCTGCTCTGTGGGAGAAAGATAAGGCAGTCTGCTTCCATAGAGATTTACAGCCTTGGAAACCCTATGGGGCATTTTTACTGTGTCCTATAGGGTGGCTGGTAGTGTCGTGCCTAAAGGCACTTGACTGCTAACCAAAAGACTGGCGGTTCAAACCCACCAGCCACTCCTCGGAAGGAAGATGGGGCAATCTACTTCCGTAGTGATACTGCCTCGGAAACCCAAGGAGGGGTCACTAT